TTATTTTATTTATTTTATTTATTTTATTTATTTTATTTATTTTATTTATTTTATTTATTTTATTTATTTATTTTATTTTATTTATTTATTTTATTAGATTTTATCACGTCTTTCTGATATTAAAAAACTAAAAGTGACCAGACTTGACTCGTTTAATATGCAAATTTACAATCTTTGCCACTGTGAAATGGCATCAGCAAGTATTCTGGTCCACTTGGCAAAAGAAAGCTCACGACTGTATTGATTGGAAACATGGAGAAGAGGCCTTCATCCTGCAATGGATATACAATGACCAGAATGATGAATTTGGCATAGGAATTAAGAGGTTATGAAGTATTTGGATGTAAATAAAGGAAGCAGAACTGTACTTCCTGACTTTACCCAGACATCTTATGAGCACTGTATTTCTTTTCTCCCATCATTTTATTCCGATGAGGGAGAAAAATCTCTGATGGGTATGTTTGGGCGGGAGAATTTTGGTGGATTATAATGTGAGGGAGAATTTGTGTCACTTTAGTAGAGCTGTCTTGTGCAAAGGGGTACATTTCTGCTTATGCGAGGTAGCTTTGAAAATTAAATTTAAATAATGTATAGTTAATTACAGGATAAAAATCACTGAGACAGAATGCAGGCAGCCCCAGAGAAATGGAATAACCATATTAATTCTCATTCCCCACCCTCCATTCTGAAAAAAAAATGTGGGTACTTAAATATTTAGGCTGCAGTTCTGAAGGTGTGGGGGAATCAAGTGTAATTAATAGCCCTTTGGTTGTATGAGGGAATTGAAGAGAGCACTTTCAGTCCTTTCTGCTCTTTTGCTCAACTGTTTCTCTTGGCATGTTTGTCAAGCTTTATTTATGTTCCATACAGCAAGACAATAAATTCTCTTACACTTTGTATTCTTCCCAAAATGAGCTGTCGAAGTACTCCCAAGCAACTGTACAACAGCATCAAGGATCAAGTGCAGGGGTAGGCTGCTGCGTGTTCGCAGGGATTCAGGAGACCCTCTAGCTAAGATTCTGTACAGTTCGGAGAACCCCCAAATCCCACTCCTGGCTTCACCCCGACCTTCCCAGGAGTCCCCATGCAGCCCATTTTGTATGGAGGTAAGTGCAGGGTGCGCGTGGAGGCTTGGGGAGGGCAAAAAACAAGCTTACCAGAAGGACGTGCAGAGCCTGGGGAGGCAATTTCCATCATCCCGGAGGCTTGAGGGAAGCCTCTGGAGCCCAGGGAGAGCAAAAACCTCCCACCCACCATAGTTCAGGAGGCTGAGTAGGCCATGCCCACCTGCAACCGGACAGAGAGCCCCTTGCTAAAAATTTTGAAGCATACCCCTGATCAAATGGAACCAGTAAGAGAACATTTCCCTACAGTATTTCACATCTTTCCAAATCCTGAAATCCTGAATGACACCATGACTCATCCCCTCATTGAATTTTTTTTAAAAGATCAAGAAGATGAGTTTGAAAATAGCTGTACGGCTGTATTTTCTACTGACTTTTGGTTGTTACTGCAATAAAAACAAGATAAAGTACAGTTCATTATTGATTACGAAAAAGTTGAAGCCATTATATACAAAACAGTAAGGACATTTAAAATTACTAGCATTACAAACAAGCCAGTACAAAAAGTGGGATGATGCTATCATTACAAATAAGCTCTGAAGTACTATATTATTATAGAGCTGTATGAATGCACTGCTGGTCAAACTAAGGAAGTTATTGTGTTGATTTGTCCTCTGTAAGAGCTGGTTTCAAGATCCACATAGAAAGCTCATTTGCATGTCCCACTATTATGAAATCACTTTTGGAAAAAAATACGACAGATTTAGCCGCTTCTAAAACTCCTTTTTGAGATCAGGCTAAGCCATCTTTTCATTGACAAGCAAGGATGTTTTTATTAATAGTTTCTGGTGTAGAAACTGACTTATGGATTTTAATCTTCTTAGTGCTTTTATTTATTTAATCTAGCAAATGTTGTTAGGCATTAAATTAATTTGAAATAGAACACGTTTAAACTTCAGTTATAATGTCTTTTAATTATATTGTTATTATTTTGCCTGTATTTTATTCTAAGGTTGCTTAAGTATTTGTTTTAATGAGAAGGCATGTTATAAATGTAGCAAGCATCTCATTGTTAATTTTTCTAAACATTTTTTTCTCACAGCATCAATATTATTATGCTGAATCTCTAACAATTTTTACAGTTTTTTGTAAAATAGCTCATACACCATAACAGAAAGAACTAAACAATTGATAGAATGAAAAAATAATTAACGAGGTGCAGTTCATGTCTAATATACTAAGAATTCTCACTTGTCTCAATGTAGTACCACTACTATCATTTTAAAGCAATGGAAGGCTGAGTGAATATCTAGAAGAGAAACTTACCTCTTCCCACTGATGGATATATCTTATTAATCTTGAAAGTCGTAGCAAACGTAGCAGACTGAGGATTTTTGTGAACCTCACAATGCGAAGTGCTCTAGCTGTCTTATAGACTTCTGAGTCCATTCCTTTTTCTACAATAAGAAAGATATAATCCACTGGTATGGATGAGATGAAGTCAACCACAAACCAGCTCTTTAAATAATTCATCTTGATTACTTTGGGGTCTAGTATTATTTCAGAGCTATCCTCATTAACCGTGCCAGTTCTAAAGTTCATAATCAAGTCCAACAGAAACACAGTATCCGATGCTACGTTGAAAATAATCCATGGTGTAGTTGTCTGTTCTGTGAAGAATGTGATACCAACAGGTATTATTACAAGATTTCCAACCATCATGATAAGCATGATTAAGTCCCAGTAAAACCTAAGAGAAATAGAGAATGCAATTGTTAATCAAAGAAACATGTAAATGGCCACTTATTCTCTTCTGTACATATATGTTTTGCGGACAGAGCTTTAACATTGGGAAGAAACTAGATTGGACTCAATATTTATTTCATGAAATATACAAAACAGAAATTGAAACCATCCCTTCATAATTATTCATGTGCCTATGATTGCAGGTCATATCTTCAAAATAACTCTCCCCCTCCCCCGAGGTTTGATGGTACATTTTTCTGAGAGTCAGTTTTCATTGGTATCTTCAACAGAAATATTTCTTGATCACCAAGAACTAACTTGAATAACATAAATTTGCTTGGAGCTAACCCTTTAAAATATTTTTTTTCATTGCAGTAACATGGAAAGCATTGATAACTGCAAGAAAAGACATTTCCACACAGAAAAAAATCTGAATGCCTAAACTTCAGAAGCAAAATAAAAGCTTCATGATAGCAATCAGGAACATTAGTATTAAGATAGTAAGCTATGAGAGAACCATTACATTTTTAAGGTTTACCATTTTAAAAAAAACTTCTAGAAAAAATGCAATTTAAAAGAGCAGAAGAATAGTGGGGATCTGCTCAGCTTTTTTCACAAAAAATATATATAATATGAGGGTGGTTATGATTCACCTGGTAAATCAACCTGGGCTTAGAATTGAGCTGATTTAGATTTGGAATTTCACCAGAATTATAGTCCAAATCAAAGAGTTGGGGAAAGTGTCAAACCACTTCCATGTTATTATCAAGAAAGTTGGATGGATCACTTGTAGGCAAGGTTGGCTCAAAAGAGTAGCAGTATTCCTTAGACTTATATACTGCACTCTCTAAGAAGTTTACAGAATCAGTATATTGTCCCCAACAATCTGGGTGCTCATTTTATTGACCTCGGAAGGATAGAAGGCTGAGTCAACCTTGAGTCAGTCAGAATTGAATTCCTGGCAGTGGGCAGAGTCAGCCTGCAATACTGCATTCTAACCACTGTGCCACAACAGGAATAAATATTCTTCCATGCACAAATAGCATCCATCAAAGCAATTAGAGTCATATTCTATTTTTAAAAATTCTGCAACATAAATATATTCATGTATCTGGCTAAAGTAACTAAGGTTACAATCCTTTTCCCACTTACCTAATCAGCTTCTCTGAACTGCATGAAATGTATTATTGAATACATGCCCTGGAAAAGGAATAAAGTTCTCTTTGCACTTTCTCTGAAGTACTGCTTGTTTTTTGGCCTTATTTTTGTATTAGTGTATAACAGTAGCCCTCCATTTCAAAAGGCCATGGAATAAACTTCTCTGTTGTTGAATTTTATTTTACAGGTGGTTTCTGAGTAGTTATGACTGAGGTCCCTTACATCTCTTATTGCTGCCATATTGTGCAACGTTTATAAAGGATTTAATTTTCTTCCTCAAGGAAGTAATATTTTCAAACAATTTTATTAATATTACAATACAAAAAGTAAAAACTTTTACTTAAAAAACTGAAAAATATAAAAAGAAAAATGAGAAGCACAAGAAAAAACCCCATAAAGAAATTAAAATTAAAATTAAAAAGGCAAATAAGGACTGACTTTTCCTTCATCACTAGTACAAACAGTTTTAGTAAATTATCACCATCTCTACAATCAGTACATTCTTCTTCCCATAACTCATCTCTTAACTAAACCCTAAGGACTTATCATTCATTCCTAGTCAGCAAACATCTATTAAAGGCTATGAGAAATCACTACATAACTATTTTAACCTCAATTAGATAAGGCAACTCTGGATTCCCTCCCCACACTTTTAACAAGTTTTAATCCCTTAAAAATAATGATCTTGGATTTATTTATTTTTCTTTCTCTCCTCCCAGCAAATCTGTTTACAGTTCTCTTACGTAAATTCAGTAAGAAGTTACTGAATCGCTCTTATGAATTAATACTTGCATGTCCTTTTCAAATATCAAGACTTTGATTAGTTTCACTTTTATATCCAGTGTGTTTGTGAAATAAAAGTAGACTCTCTAGCCTTATAAAGATATAATATAAACCCACCTTGCTACTTTAAAGGAATTCAAATCTCCAGAAACAATTGGATGACAGCTAAACACTAGAAGAACCATCTGACTAAAGTGATACAAGTACTGCTGATTGCAATCTTTGAAAACTCTTACAATATGACAGCCCTGTTGGACTTATGATGAGAAAGTTGGGAAAATAGTGAAGACAGGAGCATATGCAGTAGTAACAATAGTTTTGCTATATGTGATTCCAGCAGTTATGATGATCTGATTGAAGCATATCTAGACCCCAGTGCATCTTGCCTGCATCTACTGACAGTATCTTTGACTCTGAATTCCAGCCACCAAGACCTAATCAAAGGCATTGATAAGGATTCTGTCAATGTTCCAACTGATGAACCCACCCAAAACAAGCAGAGCTGAGATGATTCAATCTCTTAATGTGAAAGTTTATTGAGTACATCATTTTGGCACAGATGAGGGCAAAACCAGATCTGGCTAATTCCCATGCAAACCCACATACTCAAAGTATAGATTCTCCCTCTCCCTACAAGACCAGATCACATTATCCAATTGAGTCTCATTGTATTACTATGAGAAAGTCTTTGGCTCTGGCCAACACCTACTGAAGTGTCTTTGGTTCTCACGGCTGTCTTCTTGATGTGTGGAGCCTATATTCTATCTCCTCCTTCCCTCCTCTCTGGTTTGTTGGCAAGCTGAGAAGTGATAATGGTTGCAACAGCAAAAGTGCACTTCGAAATTTGACAGATTCCACAACAGACAGCAGAATCCTGTAGATGATTGCCAAGAAGCAATCCAACAAGAAAACCCCAAAGCTGAAGAGTAAATTGTCAGAGTTGTGTATTGGGTAGAGACTTGGTACAGCTGATTTATTGGCCCTGGTCTCTGAGAACAAATCCTGTGAACAACTTTTACGGCCTCAACTTTGATGTGTATATCCTGTTGTGCTCTGGACACAACAGGACACCTCCACATGTGTCCTGTCTTTTCCTTTGAGTTAGTAATTTGGTGATTGGATTCAGGGTTTCAACCTGTGCCAAGTCTGTGATTATGTTTACAGCTGTTATCTGATTCTGCTGACAAAAGGGGCCCTTTTCCTGTAAAGGTTGTCCCTGAGCTTTGCTTATCACTAGGCTGTGGCAGGTATTCAGCTTGCCATCTCGTGGGCTGGTACACAGCAGTGTCAGCACCAAAAGTAGAAAACTGATGAGGTATCAGCAAATTGAATAATAATTTGTATTTTTGTATTTTATTAATATTTATAGGCCGCCCTTTTCCCCACGGGGACTCATGACATAGGTCTCCTCTTCATAGCCTTCATATTCAAGATGAAGAAGAAAGAAAACCTGGGGAATAGATAGATAGATAGATAGATAGATAGATAGATAGATAGATAGATAGATAGGGAGGGAGGGAGGGAGGGAGGGGTTGAATACACATGTGTACACATGCAGCTACTAGAATGCTAATTGTCAAGCAACAGGTCTGTGAAAATTTAGAAAGGAATACTACTATTTACCAGGAGTTACACTGGATTTGTACAGAACAAATTATGTCAAACAAACCACAGCTGGGACCAGATTTTCCATTCTAAGCAAGTCAGTTGTTAATGAGTTGTCTCATAAAAAGCTTTTTTGTTGTTATTGGTAATTGAATCACTGCAGTTCTTAAGTGCATCACGCAGTCTTTAAGCAAATCTGGTTTCCTCCATTGACTTTGCTTGTCAGAAGCCAGCTGGGGAGGTCATGAATAGCAATCATACAATCCCAGGATTATAGTTACCAAATGCCTGAATTTTGATCAAATGACTATGGGAATGCTGTGAAAGTTGTAAGTGCAAGGAACGGTCCTAAATCACTTTTTGTCAGTGTTGTTAAACTTCAATCAATTGTTAGAGGAATGGTTACAATGAGGACTACCTGTAATCTATAGCAGATGGTACTGGAGTTCAATGAATTTGCAATTTGTTGAATAAATGCACTCTGGAACTGATTCATTAAAAACCTGAAGAGATGTGCTGCTTCACACAATTAAGCATTTTTTAGACTGTTATTGGGTGACTGTCTATTCTGTACAGTTTGTCTGACCATTACAGTTTAAAAAGGCATGATCAGATTGTAAGAATCTGGAAACCAAGATTTATGAAAAGTGGTTCACAAGAGATGGGCATACACAGCTTGCAAAAAATATCAGGCAATGACAGCAATCTATAGAGAACCTAACATTTTGTCGCATACGAGAGTTTGGGGATCTGTTGTACGCTGAAACTGACAACCACTAAAATATTGTATTTGAAAGGAAGGAGATTCAACCTAAACATGAGGAGTACTTTTCTCATGACAAGAAATGTTAAGCATTGCAGCCATTTTCTTAAACCTGTGATATGTTCCTCAGTAGTAAAAGCTTTTCAAGTGAGGGTTGGATGGCCACTTTTTAGTGATAGGTTTGTGGAATACTATATGAGGCAGCTTGAAGGGCTAGATAATTTATGAAGTTCCTTACTCATAAATTCTTAGTGTTTAATTCACTCCTTATAGTGACAAAATTACGCAGATTAAAAGACACTCTGTATGTCATTTTATGTACTTCTTGCAAAATTGTTGATTATCCCATCAGACATGCAAACAAACACTTGGCTACATTGGTGAAAAGTTTTGTATTTTTTAAATTGATGAAGTTTCAGCAGTTTTTCTGATGTACAATACATGCAGAGTTACACAAACATATTCAGGTTCTGTTCTTTCTTCCTATCAATGATTGGCATATGGAATGAATTTGTCATCGTGCCATAGAATTACCTTATTATCCCATGTCATATTTGAAGGGTTAGGTGGCATTTTTCTCAGACTTCCTGTCATAATCTATTAAGGTGTTGACATTAAAACAGAAATTCCTGCTGTTAACCATGGACTTTATGGGAGACAGAAACAATTCATTCTTGAACAGCCTCAAATAAGTG